CCAATCCAAACTGCTCTATGATTCTATGAAATGTCTGTGCTGCTTCTATTATGAGAAGCATCTTTTATTGCGCTGTTAATGTTTTTGAGTTAGCTTTTCAGCTACTTATACTACCACACTCAGTCCCTTTTGTACCCTGTGGATGTAAATACAAGCAACCAAAATGTATAATTTGGGGATCGCCAATAAAAGCATACCGAGACTTAAAGTGACCTTGGTACCTTGTCACATTTTTTTCATTATGTGGTTCCTACTCTCTTACAAAAAAAGAGGTTGCCTCTCCTGGTGTGAGTGAAACACCTAGGAAGTTCTGTGCAGCCCTGCATAAGCCGGCTACATTCCTTTTAAACTCATGCACAAAAATCATCAGCATGACTAGAAGGAAAAAAAGAAAAAAAAAAGAGGAAAAAAAAAATCAGGTGCACCTTCAACTCAGAAAACTTATCTAATCTGTTATTTGACCCTTACTGATGATATTTATCTCCAAACAAACCAGCACTCTTCTCTATAACTTCACCTGTTATGTGTTAAAACAAAGACAGCTAAATATGTAAAGCAGGAAACAGAACTGCCTGCTATTTCCTTGTAATATGAACAAAATCCAGACAAGGACAGCTATTTCCGTATTGAGTCTCCAAGGAGAAGCTACCCTTGTGCACAAGTTCCTGTTCACTTACCAGGCAGTCCAGCTGAGAGACAGGGCTCTTGTTGCCAGGGTGGCTAATGTCCCAGACTTTGACGCACCCCTTCCCACCCGTGTACACGTGTCTTGTGGGGTTGCTGATGGTAACTGCACACACAACTTCTCCGTGGTTCAGAGTGTTGATCTGACGGGCATGGCGAGGGATTCCTGGACCGATGAGGGCATCCGGAGGGAATGGAACCGGCTGCATCTGGCCATCTGCAGTAACGTGAAAGGAGTAGGCTCTTTCGGGGAAAGGAAAGAAGAGAGAAGACAAAAAAAAAATCAGCCAGTTACAGTGCTATAACGCAAGAAAAACACAGTATTTTTTAATTTTATTTCTTTGCCAATCTTTTTCTCATGAAAATCAGAGCTACCAGTGCCAAGTAATACAGGCACGTGAAACCTCAGAGGGAGACAAGGATTCACAATGGATATTTTCACCTTGCCTCACCTAAAGTATTTGTGCAGAGGGGAAGCACGTTAAATTCTACTCCTAACTTTACGGCCCAAGGTCATGGCTGCTAACCCTCAGCCACCTGGATAATCAAAAGATCTTTCAGCCCATGGTTTCTAGCCAGCAGTTCCAAGTCTCAGCACAAGTCCTGCAGCAGCAATGCCTCACCAGGCACTACTCTTTCAGCCTTCTTCCATGAGGCTTGCACCTGTTGCCTTGCAGTAGCACTAGCCAAAGTTCAATTTTTGCTCCGTTTCTGCATCTCATCTTTAATATCAGCACCAGTTGTGCTCACATGCCTCTCTTTCCAGCAGGTAACTGCTTTAAACAGAAAATAGAAACATGCAGAGTGGTTGCACACACCTTTCATGACAAAGCTGATACCATCTTCTCATAATTATGTTTTCTTCAGTAAGTATTTTGGAAAAGCTGAAAGGCTCAGTTTCCCAGGTAGTTTTGGCACTTCTGTAACACCTTTTATTTGTATTCAGTGCATGATTTCAAGTACATGGAAACTGAAGGTTGAGGAAGTGAATCCCAGCACTGAACAAAAACATCCCTCCTTGGGGAAAGTACACAAAATTATTTCTTCATGTTTAAAGTAGCTCTACTCAAGGACCATGGCACAAATAGCAGCTAATACAGGATTCAGGTGCTGGGGGTTTTCTTTGTTTGTTTGTTTTAAATAATAATGAAAATACTACTGCAAAAGGCTGCTTTTTGTTATACTGGTGAGCTCCTTTTTTGCTTCTTCTGTTTTAAGCACATCCATAGCTCACCTTTTTGATGCTACTGTTACATTAACAGCATTCTTCCAGAGGCCAAAGTGGATAAAAAATGGTGAGATATGAGTATCCTTTTTTTTTTTTAATAATGAGCTACTGTCTCCCTAGTGATACCTCTTTTCCAAATGTACCTTCTTCCTCAGAAATCTTGAGTCACTGAAGTATTAGTGTATTGCATCCCTCAAGTATTAGTATTACATCCCTATTCCAAGGACCCAACAATAGATAATTCAATTTAATCTTCTGTTCTGAGCTCTGAGCTAGTATTTTCTAAGTATTTTATTGCATGTTTCCAAGTATTGCACAGTTTGAAAGGAAGGAACAAGCAAGATGCCTGGACCCGTAACACACATCACAAAGCAAATTAATATGCCCAGGAGCAGAGCAGAAGATATTCCTTTAAAAAAAGTGAGAAGTGGAGAGGTGAAAGAACTCTGCAGTTCTTCCATACAGAAGGTAACAGTGGAAACAGTCACCCCATGCAGTACCACAGTTTTCTCAGAAGGGAAGGATAAAAACTGGTTAACAGTAACTGCTATGAAACAAAGAAGAAATTAATAGTGCATACACATGCAATTTCTGCACCTCATTCATGTTTCATGGTTGGACATGTGATTGAAAGCCTGCTCAGAGAATACACAGAAATGGAGGATTAGCAAGTGCAAAAGATGACAGATCTTTTTTGTCATAGAAATGTCAGGAATGGGAAATGCAAGATAAGAAAGAAAGTGCAAAGTTCATTCGCTTACATGTATACAAGATGCACAGCATATCAAATGCATTTCTTCCCATGGGATCCTTTCTCTTATTTTGTATGAAGAATTACAGTAATGATAAAGGCTTAACTAGAAATCTGTATCATTTCTGTGAAGAAGAGTAGAGACAGGACTGTCCCAAAGTAGTTATGTACTAAACAGATGAGACGCAGGATGGGAGAGGGAGCAGAAGAGGAGTGGCAAAAAGACTGCTCGAGGCTGAACAACTGCTCAGGTTCAGGTACAGAATCCAACTAAAAAGTCATAGCACTTAAGAGGCTGAAAAGCTGGGCCCTATCCTGGGCTCCAGATCAAAGTCAGTTGCAGAATCTACAGAACTGCACAACTTTGAAGTCTCAGCCTGCCCTTGCTTTTATCATGGACAGAAGAAAAACAATTAAGCAAGTATTAAGCCATTTTTTTCCAGCACGTTGCAGATGAATAATCCACTTGTACATGATTTTTTTTTTTTTAACGGAAGGTTACAGCGTAAATGTTCTGTTCAATTTAAAATACCTAAATAATTGGTGTTTCTGTGCATACACACAGCTTCTCAGTTCTTGCTGAGATGGGGTAGGAGGAAGGTAGGAACATTTTTCAATTGCTTTATGCATACTGTAGAATTAAGATGATTCTTCTGCTCTCAAACGCCAGAGACTTACCCAGTGTACTTTTAATCATGTAGAATTTTACCAGTATGCCCGTGTTTAAAGTGCGGTTATATAGATCATAAGAGTAGTATCTCTTTTTTACCACTATGAGCAGGCATTTGCTTCCAAGACTGGTTGGTCAGGACTAAGGATGAGTGAGTTTGAGGGCCTAACAAATAGACCAGTGATAGTTTCTTACAAGCCAAGACAGCTTTTTCTACAGTGCAAGTTATCAGCAATCCACTGTGTAAAGAAATGGCTACACATTGCCAAGTCCCTCTGCCCCCAGCAAGACAAGCACACAAAAAAGTAAATGTTCCTGTTTGCTCGAAGATGTCTGGCATGTCATGGTAACGTCACCACTGTCGGCATACTTATGTGGTCTAGTAACTTTTATCTACTAGGTATTATGGCATAACTTTTCGTTACACATACCTTTTACTTTGAAAAAACTTGCATCATTTGCAGGACTGACACTCCCTAGGCAAGGAAAGCTTCTGTCTCCAGAAGAACAACAGTACTGGAGACAGCAGTGTAAATGACTATTTGCAGCTCAGTCACTGTTGTCCTCAGCTACCTCTCCATCAGGTCACCATGACAGAGGGCCTACTCTGCTGCTTCTGGGGAGGACTGTTCTTCCACTGCTACACCTACAAAGCTGTAGGTGTACTTACATATGATCAAGAAATGACTCAATTTTTCATGCACTAGGTATATTCACGGCCTGAATTCTCAAAACTGACACGCATTTTGGTTGATAACCTTAGAAGAGTCAACAGTAAAATCTGGTAAATTCTTGAGTTCTCTAAAGCTCAAGGTATTTCTTGACAGGCACCCCTTGCCCACTCATCTTTCTCCTCAACAAATTGCTATTGACATCTGAATTCCATAACACTGCAAAAATGTAATGTGCACTTTTATCTTTTTATGATGATCTTTTAGAACTGACAGTGTATGCCAGAAACTGCTGTTCAACTTCACAATGATCACAGATTTCTGTCTCATTCACAGCATTCTGCCTCTACGAAATGACTGGGTTCCATGATTATTCATCTTTGGTCAAATGACTGTTAGCATTAAGATAGCCCTTCCTCATGTTGGGCTAACAACCACAGCAAACCAAGAAAAAGTTCTTATACAATGCAATTACAATTTAACATAAAACAAGCTAAGTACATATAAATTAATATGTAAATATACACTTATAATTAATTGTATATTATGAAAAGAACCATTACAAGACAAACTTGCATGCTTTTTATTTAGGGAGGAGTTCTGAGAAACAGTATACTGTCACTTATGATTATATGCTTTCTGAATAACAAAATAGTCTTCTGATCTATTGCGTCCGAAGACTTCTCCTCATCTGTGTCAAAGCAGCACTGAGAACCTGCAGAGTTCCTACACATTACAACACAGCTGGTGATACTAATACAACCCGGTTTCTCAGCTTAAATCTGGTAATTATGGCCCTCCAATTTCCAAATAAGTATCAGATAAGTATATAAGAAGTAAGTATCATCTAACATGCTGAGAAGAGTTCAGAATAATTAATTCACTGCTCAAGAACATGGCAAATCAACTAAACTACTTAACTGCCAGCTACTCTTAAGTATTCAGATCGATATAACGTGTGCAATTCCTGGCTACTTAACGTACCATGCCTAAAAAAAAAAGCTTCCACTTCATCCCTCTAATTCAGAGTTCCTTAACTAGCATAAAAATACCCCAACTACAAAACACAAAAGCAGACAGTTCCTTCTATGATGACTGCATTTTACTTTCAGCTCTTCTTTGTACTCCAGCTTATTTTTATTTGTAGTTATCACAACAAACAGTGAATATCTGAGTATGGTGTTTCATTATACAGGACAAAATACCAAGAAATAAGGATAAAGATATTTGTACAGAAATAACAAAATCTTTAACTCCATACATGTCATCAAATAATTCTATCCAGAGATACAAGGGGGGGAAAAACAATATGTTATTCTAGAATATAATAAAATTAGCCTTCCTTTAAAATATTCCTCATTGTACATTCACTGAACAAGTGTGAAGATCAGGAGAATTGAAATCTTTCTAATTTTTGCCTTGAGCAATTCCAGAACAGTATATTATTCCTTTCCAAAAACACAAAGAAAAGTCAGCTTAAAACTAGAAGTTGAAAGAGTTAAATTTGTCATAGGAAATTTCCCTTTCCTACTAAAATGAGAAACGTGTATTTTCAACTTTTTCTGGTGTCTGCATGTAACACCTCATGCTTCAATTAAAGCCACATTTGAAAAAAATACTGAGAAATACCTTTGTCCTCAATGCTACCATTAATTCACAATTTTAGACACCAGGGAAGCAATACTGTGGACATAAATCTTACCACTGAGCTTGAAAATCTGTGTTCAGTGCACAATCCAACTATTAGAAGCTGTGGTTCACATCAAGGAGAAATCCACAAGAACATTAACTTAGCAGCTATAGAAGACTAGAAGCTACATAGATACCTTGCGAGAAAGGCTAGCAAAAAACATGATTACAGCAACACACCAAGAACTTATAGTCCAGGGCATAGTTAAATATATCAAAACGACAGAGTGCAAGACTTAGACACTACATGTCCATGTCCAAAACTAGTACTGATTTCCCACCCCCAACCTAAGACAATTATTGATTAGGTGATCGCTGAAGGCAATCTGGAAAGAAAAAACACTTAATCAGGTTACAAAACAAGGCAAGCTTCCCAGACAACAGACCCTTGATAAAAGCAGATAGGCAAGTAGGAGTGCGTTCTAAAGAGGCTACTAATTTTTCTAACAAGCTAGTCATTACCAGATCTCAGAATACACAAGGATTAAAAAAAACTGGGTGCTACCAGAAATGTCATTCCTTTGGAAAGAAAGGAACTTCATTTTCTCTTGGAAGCAGAACTGGGTGAAAAAAACAGTCCCAGCATAACCATTGATAAAAAAGTGCAGCTGTGAGCATACACATATGGCTGGGAATTCAATAGTTCAATTTGAAAATTCTCTGTACCACTTGCAACAAGACTCAGACTAAAATTCCACATCTTATAAAACAAATTCAATGTGGCACCTTAAATGAACTCCAGGAAAAGGCAGATTTTGAAAATGAAGACTATTCCACTAGTTTGCATGATTATATAACCCAGGTATTTTGTATGGAAAATATAGGAGACTTCCCTAATGTAAGTAAGAGATACTCTAAGATGCTGCAGGTAGCAGATGGTATCTAGCTAGCTGCAGCCAATCAAGATTAAAATAAGAGATTGTTCTAAAGCTGTCAATGGAAAGATAACAGATCAGTTTATGGAATTTTAGGTTTGCCTCACTTACAAAAAAGATAGGCAAAGAAGTCACTTTAGAGGAAATGACTGACTCAGTGCAAGTAACACGACCCACAAAAAAACCATTACAGAACACATCAAATCAAGTGGAGAGTAGGGAGTGTGTATCGAAGTAGGTGATCTACGAAGCAGTGTGAATAAAGTGCTGAAAACACTAAATAAAAAGATTTAAAAAAAAACCCCAAACCCCACACAGACTGTAATTTAGCTATGAAATACCAGGATACAAAGTATAGCAGCATACATGCACTGCTTTTGTGCCTTGAATAGTGCAACTAGAGCTCAGCCACAGAAAATTTCTGACTGAACAAAAATAGGTTTTCATAGCTTATAATATAAAATATTGCCAGGCGTTACTAATGGAATAAGTAATTGAAAGCTTATGAATATACTTGTTTAAAAGTAAAAATTTACAGCCACTGGATTATGCAATCTCCAAAAATATTTTATGTAAGTGTGCCAAATTCTACTAAAGTCAGCAAGAATGAGTCTGACCCTTAATAAAAGAATGTTTTGAGAACAAAGCCCGCTCCTTACTATACTAAATTTAAACACATCACCATCTGATACATAACACCAACTTACTGAGCCCTCACTTCAGTAACCTTGTCAACACACCACCAGCTTTTCTTTAAGTAAGTCCAAGATTTAACAGGTTTCTCACACTGCCAACAGATAGCTAAGTCTGTTCTCAGAAGCGTGGTGGATAACAATGAACACACATTCAGGATGGCTTTCCTAATCTAAGTCTGCTGCTTTCGTACTGTTATGGAAAAAGAGTAGAAGAAAATACACACTTTTTGGCCTGTAATCTGGTGTACTTTTAAGGATGTTTGCATGATTGACATTACAACATATCACTAGCTATTAACAGGAGTTCAAAATGAAGGCAAACAGAAATATGTGTGTATATAGCTTTCACCACAGTGTGTCTTATAACTTAGACAGTATCGCGAAAGTAATAGTTTCTGAATTTTTCCTGAAGCTGCAAAAGGAAAAATTAAACCATGATAGATTGGTAAAGAAGACAGTACATTACAGGAACACCCAGCATAGAAGTGCAAAATGTTAAGTGAGTTTCAAAATTATGTAAGTACCTAGATAGAGAGAAACTACCCTAACTGCAACTTTCTGTTGAAAGAGAAGACAGGACTGAATGCCAAGTGTGAAGGGACAAAGAACAGGTTTTAACAGTGTGTTGAAAAACCTGTTATAATTCTCTCTGCCCCACTCTCTCTGAGAAAACAGATTAGTTAAGTTTGCAGTCTATGCTTTGTTTGTACCTGCATAGACTAATTGTCCAGAAATACTTTAAAAATAATCACATTTTTAAAGAGGTCATACATGTTCATGACTCTTCTGCACATGGATAAGCTCAGTCTCAACAGTCTACCAAAACCAAATTACTGAAAAATTTGATGTATGCTGTGTTGATGAATTTATCTTATCGTAACATCAATAAGCCACAGCATCACAGAAGTATTTTATTTGACCACCACTTCATCAATAATTAAAACTTTTAAATAAAAAGAACCTGTTGTGAAAGTTACCCTACATCTATGCACCACCTGCTGCACAAATGCTTCATCATCCTTTTGCTCTCCAGCTGCACACTTACACAAAAGTTCTAAAGAGGTTGCTCCATTATACAAGGTGTGCATCAATTGCTAAAATAACTGCTTCAGATACCCACCGTGATCAACGGTTGCAGACTCTCATGCCTGATAAAACAGGTGCCAGACAAGGAGTTTGTGAGTTTGCACTACACATTTATGCTCAGCATAGTATGAAGTTTAGTTTCAATATGTTTTTGTCTTACACATTTTACCACTGTCTACCAGTTTATAGTTCCCTTAACTTCCCCAGAAAGGAGGAAATAAAAAAACCTTAAAGTATACCTTCAACAGCTTCTCCTTGGAAATAGGTATATGCACACCTGATTTGGGATATGACAACCACCATTTGAGAATTTATATGCTACACCTCTTACCAGGAGAACTTTAAAACAATCTCTTGGGAACAACCAGACACTACCCCCTTTGGAATTCTTGTTCACTGACACAAGATAACTTTATTCTCTCTCGATATTGCAGATGTTACCAAAATGTTAAAAGTTACTTACGGTTTTCCCCCAGGAATCCCTGCTAGATTTGGAGGGATTCCAGGTACTCTCATGTGAGGAGGAGGATCAAACCCAACCTGACAATGAAAAATGAATTAATCTCACACTTGCAATTTCTCACTCAGCAAAGCCCCTTTCCTTCACCCCAAGATATTACGTGTTTAACCAAAACGTGGCTTTTACCCACAGTATTAGATAAGTGCATGTCCCTCCCTAGCGGGAAAAACAAGATGTTTTCCCTAGGCATGCTTCTGCTAGAAGTTTTCATATGCGAATAGAAAACCAATAATGTATATCATGCATTCACACCACTGAGCATAACACAAATGCGTGTATATCATGCATTCACACCACTGAGCGTTAGCACAGAGCTAGCCCTGGAATTAGAGTCTGTGGTGTGTCGGCATATAGCCATGCCAGCGCCCTTTAGCTCTGCGACAGCTAGCGCCGTGCTGGACAGCAGCTTCAGTCCCCAGCTAGAACCTCTGCCCGGCTCCACACTGCGCTGTGTGGGCACATCAGCTGAGAGATCTCTCACAGAGCTACGCCGCAGGGCGCAGACAAAGCTGTAAGTCTACAGCTTAAAGACACTACGCTCTCTTTACATACTGCAGTTCCACTGAACTTTTATATCCTGAATAAATATGTACATCAAACAATCCAAACAGAAATTCTGGACCAAACAGACTTAGTTTTTCTTCTGAACACCACACCTGATTTAAAATTCTCATTGCTTTAAGGAGCACATATGCTATTTAAAATTTCCACATTTCCACATAAAAGCCCTGTTCACCAGTTTGAAAAAAGTAGCCATATCTACAATAATGAGAAAATGACAAGCTTAAGTCGAATCTTGCAAATTTACAAGTAGGTAAGTTTGTCTATGCACAAAGCTGCCATGAAGCTCATGTTTGCAGAATCAGGCCCCCAGGTTATTCTGCTCAACAGCAGCTATAAGTGCTATGCTCCATTTACTTACTACCCCCACAACAACAACTATTCTTAGCACGCCTTATCACAGAGCTCCAAGATATGTACTGACCAATTTCTCATGTTGATTTCCACAAAAAAACAAAATATAAGGACAGAGATACAGATAAAAAGACTTCTACATGCTTCAAGATTAATTTGGTATGTCTGTATGGAACACAAATCTGGTTCAGAAGCAGATGTCCACAGCACCAATGAAATACTTTGTAGATACAACAAAACTACCTTTTCATTTAAAGCATAAAATAATTTTTTGGCATTTATTAATCTGTCAAAGCACTGACGGAGGTGAAGAAAATAGGCAACATACATAAATACGCCGAGATTCTTTGTTTTCAAGGTGCAAATTTGTTTCTCCAGCCACGCAGCAAAGTGAAACACACAGTGAAGCTGTCAAGTCTCTGGCGCTGTTATAACTTGGGAATTCGACAGTGCTAAATGAAGCATGTAGCTCTTCTCAGTGAACCACAACTCACAGGACTGAGATTGCATGCAACGTATGGCCTACCATAGGAGATCTTCCATAGGCAACCACAGCAGCTGCAGCAGCAGCAGCACTCATCTGGGGTGACATATTGTGCAGACTGGCATAGGCTGCCCCTGGACTGGTTAACTCTCCGTTCATGCCAGCATGAGGTACCATTCCAAATGGAGCAGGGTATGGTCCTGGTACTGCCAACGGTGTCCGCAAACCTGCAGCTATGGAATAATGAAATCAAGTAGTTTTATTTATATATTCCTGCATACAGGGAAGAAAACAGCCTTTTTTTCCCCCTCCAATACCTCCTACCTGTGTTCCCCTCTCACATACGCACACTGCCAAGAAACATTGCCATAATTTATCAGTACCACCACCTCTTTTCACTCAGTGTAAATAAGATCTACTGAAGTGTGAACTTGCTGATTACTTCTTACAATCTCTTCTAGCATTACCTATTTCCATTTCTGTAATATTTCCCTGTTTACATTAATCTCTCCTTTGCCAAATTAAGCAGTAAAGCTGACAGACATGGTTTACACAGCTCATGTCTGAAGCAACTGTGCTGTACCACCCTGAATAGCAAAAGTAAACTTCCCCTTGCATTTGTCAAGATTTACACTGCAGCAAATATTGGTAGACTCAGACAAAGAGCTGGAGAAGAGACTGCATTCAGAATAAGTACCAGAAACTTTGGAGAGGTCTTTTTATGTTGCATTCAGTCTCTGGATTATTTGCAAAAAAGATAAAGACAAGAGTAAACAAAGAAGGATAAGAGATAGAAAGATATTCAAACTCTTGATAATCCAAACATCTGCTTCTCATCAAGCCCTCTCCTGATATCAAGAACAAAGCAATACATTCAGTTAACATTCACACAGAACTACATACGTAAAAAAAGATTAATTTTGGAACCATAAAAACACGTGAGCTAATGCATTACCAGCTTGGTTAACCAGAGGGTCCATTGTTGGAGGCTTGCCAAGGCCTGGACGAAGTCCTGGAGTTGCACTCGTGCCTGGGGTTGGCACATCACTTCGAGGAGTTGGTGTGCTGGATTTCAGAACAGGCGTGCTGGCTTTTTCATGCTGGTATCATTAAACAAATTAAATGAGTATTATTTTTAATCCAGGTGTTATTATACAATTTATCACAACAGCAGCTGGGATGCTGGGCATCTACTACCTAGTCCCTCAGCCAATTTTCATAAATCCACCCAATGCCGACAACATTAACTTGTGAGAGAGAAATGCTGACCTTTTTGATTGCCGCCAAAAGTAAAATAAGAAAAGAAACACAGAAAGTTATTTTTCCCTCTTCCATTGGCATGGAAAAAAAAAATGCCTGAGCTAATTGTTTTTCAGGACAATACAGGATGCATCACCAAATTATTTTAGCTTGAAATCATTACTGTCTCTATTATTATTATCTAAGTACAAAACCAAAATATCACCATAGTCGATAGTATCAAAAAATTGTGACACAAAAGCTACAGAGAAACCGATCAAATTCTTAGTGATACTGCAGGAAAAGTTTTCAAAGAGTAACAGCTTATTTAGAAGAGTTTAACAAAAGCCTGGGGAACTTCTTAGTGACTATATACACACTATGTTAAACCATAAGCTATTGCTCAAGAAAAAATAAACAATGCTTAAGCGACTCTTGCACTTTGTAATAAATTTATAACTCATTTGACAGAAATGTAGGAAATACAAGAAATCTAAAAGAAGCAGAAAATATTGCTGAGCAGGAAAGCTGAATAATACTATAAAGGTCTGGAAAAACAGTAGTCTACTTCAGCTTCAAATGTCTGAAGTCATGTACTTTCTGCCACAAGTAGTTGCAGGAGAAGGAAGAGTTAGACTTTGCAGGAAAGAAGAACATTTATCTGGACAACAGACTGCTACCCACCAGACTCATTTCTTTGGATTTGAGGGAAGTGGAACTTCCCGAAGAGGCCGTAGATGCTGGACTGCTAGAGGCGTCTTTCTTCAGCAGACGCGTTTTATCTATACCGTTTTCACGTGGTGAATGAGTGGGACTTGCCCTTGGGGAAGAAGGATCCTAAAACAATGGGAAGGGAAGAACAGCACAGAACCATGTCATGGGTTGGTACACAAACACCACTAAGGAGCCTATGGGAAAAAAACTGTAAGAATTTAAGCAGTAAATTCAAATGACAAGACATTTTGTTATCTCTATAGAAAAAAAGCTGAAATCCCTTCATCAACTTAGAGATATAAGTAAATCCATATAGTAAGCAATCTGGTTTTATTTTACACTACATGTAATCATAAACTGTTTCCAGGCATAGAGATTGTAATCTAAGCATACCTAAGTACAAACTAAGGCAAGTGTGCACAACATGTGGTAAGAGCAAGAAAGACCAACAGTAACTGCAGTAAGTTTACACTGTTTTTTTCCATGTACGTTCTCCACGCACTGCTACCGACAACAAACATTTCAATAATCTCTTTTAGGCCACACAAACCTTGCTCATCTCTATCTTCAGAAGAAGAGATAAAGACACATGCTTTATATGCCATAATATCTGTCACTTCTTTCTAAATACCATCTACAATTGCCTCACTACTTAAATCTACAGGAAAAACTGAAATCACCTCTCAGGTGATTATCTTTCTCTCTTCCAGAAGCGCACTCTGCATTTACTCTAACCTGAAATAGCCAGCCCAGCAAGCTACAAGGCCATCAGAGCTCTGCAGGTTCTCCATGCTCCTTTGGCTCATGAGAATAGCAGCAGGGAGGAAGCAGCCCTCACAAGAGGACTGACAAATCTACTGACTGATTATTGAGCAGTTTCATTGTAAGTAGGGCTTCTGAAAGGATTACTGAAATCCCTTGTTAGATACCCATTTTTCTACTTGGCTGACATCATTTGGGCACTTGGAGCTGCTGAAGACACTTCTTCTCTGTCAGCTTCTCTCCCTGTGCTTTTCACAGAGCAGAAGAACCTCGCTACCATATTTAGGTTTCCTGAATCTCTTTGTTGTATAAAATAAAAGATGAAGAAAAGGGTAGGCCCATCCCTTCACCTTGATGCCACTGCCAAATCTCTGCCCTGGAGAAAAAAAGTGGCTACAACCTCTGGCAAATTTTATGAACTGACTGACTTCATTCTGGCTTCAGCTCACTTCATTCTAAAAAACAAACATTTCTGGAAAATGCTGTCTTTAGCGTAGGATGTTGAAATACTAGTAATTTTTAAGGTACCAAAAAAGCTTTTAATAATATTCCTACTATTAGATACAAGGTTAGGTATTGTTTTCCTTTTTCATTTGAAGACAGTGGTTTGAAAACCTCAGCCCTCCACCTGCATCTCACCACAACCCCCTCCATTACAGAGCAGCTGTGAAGCATCAGAACGTAACTGCGGAGGGAACAGACCTGGACAAAGCAGCAGAAGGAAAAGCCGAGGGGGCAACCGGATAAAGCTCAGAGGAAGAGATAGTAACTGCAGTACTAACAAAAAGGAGAAGTTGTGAATATTTTGATATATCCATACAGAGGATTCTTTTTCTTCTAACATCTAAATGCACTTTTCCTTTAACCTTTGGGCAAACGTCAAGACTACAAAAATGAAAAAAGTTACCTCATTGGATACATCTACAACCAAGTTATCGTCACTCTTGTCCCCATCACTGTCCTATTAAAAATAAATAAATATAGTGTTCATTTCAATTAGTACATGAAGAGCCCAGAGAGAAAGACTATGCATCTACTCAGACATTTTTTGTTTTTCCTAAACAAAAAGCAAACAGCCTTTCATTAACTTATTAGCAATAGGGAAAACAATGAAAACAGGAACATGACACCTTATTTCTGCTTCAATAATAAAACCCAAATAAGGTAGAACTAGTTGAAAGGTGGTGGTCTCACCATCAATGCAAGATGGTTCAAAACCCCTCCTTATTACCATCATAAACAGTGTTATCACTACTCCTAAAAGATAAACTCATTCTGTTCATATGCTAATCTTACGTGTTAATCTTACGGAAATTACTGCTTCTGCATACCTAAAGACCAACAGATCTCAGAAAACTGGAGCTTTTTGGCATTTGTTTGATGAATCAACTTCCTCAAAATGATAGGACAATTTTTCTCCTTTTCCAGAAAGGAAGGTTTTGAAACGGAAAGTTCTGGGGAAGAAAAAGCTTCAGAAATGCCAAGGCATTTCAACATTTCTGCCTAACAAAACCAAAATACTTTGACATTCCTAAACGGAAATGTTTTATTGTGGCTTGTCAAGCTGGATTTTGACTGTTTCACATAAATCTGCGTTCACCTGAGCTGCCCTAGTGCCTCATGATAGCTGTTACTCAAGTGCCTCCTGGTCCCTATCTCCAAAATGGGCTGGGATGCCTCAGTAGACACATTCTATGATGCACAGTGGTCTAGTGATTTCCGCAGTGCACCACGGTGGTTCAACAAGATGATGAGTCTTGACTCAAAAACAACAACAACAAAAAAATTAAGTGAATGACAAAACTTAAAATATTCGTGTGGGCAAGTTTGACATTTCCAATAATAATACTTTTAGTTAAAATGTTTCTAGACAAACAAATCAGACATACAAGATTGCTTAAACTGTCCCCCATCTCTTGCTTTCAAAGTGTCTGGGCTATCACACTTAACACTGGCAGACAGACAGTAAAACACCAGTTCCTTCCACTCACTTCAGGCCATAAATTAAAACAAACAAACAAACAAACAAACAAACAAAAAAAACCCCAACAGGTAGTTTCAGCCTTCCCTTCTGCTTTAGCAGCTGCATATTGCTCCAACAAATACCGCAAGCTTATCAGGGACCCAAGAGTGCCACTGAAGACAGAATGGTGGCTCTGTTTGCCACTCAGGAAACTGTCCAACCAAAGGGTGCAAAAGGAGAAGGAACAGGAAAGCTTCAGCCCCGGTTATCTGCCACCTCTTGAAAAGTATGAAGCACCCAGAAGGCAAGAATAGGTTAGAACACATTTGAGCATGTGGGAGCACAGTAGGTGGGACACTTGTTCACCAGAAATACTGCCCCTGAGGAGGGCAAAAATAGCTGCCAAGCACTCCACTGACCTTGTCATCTTGAGAAATAGAAATTTACTGGGACTTTCAAAGGCATCTCCTATAGGTACTATTAATATCAGAAGATTTTGCTCACTAACAAACCCACAGGCTGAAACAATACAGGTCCTAACATGAAAATTGGTTAGAAGTCAAAAAGAAAAAAAAATTGCATTTTGCATCTTATTTCCAAAAGCAACAATTCCTACAACTCATTTATCTCCCTTCTGACAAAACCAGTACTTTCTTGTCCCTACAAGGGCCTCATCTAAAATGAGCTCAAAATCAGCAGCTCTGTGTTTGCAGAATTGGGGAACCTTTAAAAAGAAAGATCTGCTTCCAGATTAGAATAAACTTGGAACTTTCAAGTATCCTTGTTTTGCTCATTTCTTTATTTTGATGTTGCCTTTATCTGTAAAATCCATGTTGAGCGAACAGCAAACAGAACCACACAATTAGAATGTGGATTAAAACAGCTTCTGCAGTGCAATAATACCCTTCCCATTTCTCTCCAGGAGAAATACAAGAAAACCAAGCTTTTTCTTCCTTTTTTTTTTTTTTAAAATCAAACTTAGCTTAAGAATGCTTAACCTTCAAATATTTAAAATGAAAAATGCCCATAGAATATCAAACCCTCACAGTTGAAGGAATAACATGGAGAGGTTTGCCAAACCCTTCTGTAATCACAAGAAGATTAGAAAGTGGTGGAAATACAACTTGCAAAACTGTAACAGTACTACAACACCACAATGTGCAGAAAGGGGAAAGTAACCTCATCTACTGTCAGTAGCTCCAGGGATATCCAATAGCTGCTCAGAGATATTCTGGGTCCAAACGGAGAGAAATTACCCTACCAAATACTGAGGAAATAAAGTGGCACCTGATTTTCTCTTGGGTTTCAGTAACCAGGAAGTAATTAGTGATTGGATTCATAGAAACCAGACAATTTGCCATATTATTGCTATCTCAAAGAATAATAGCTTCTATTAGATTTAAGTTCTGCTTTTCAGTACTCTCTCACACCAGGCCTAGTCTCTAAAGCCTGTTCAAGTATCATCCTGTGATTTGGCTGAGCATTTAGACTTGAAGTTGAAAGCCTATGTGAACCTTGTTCACATATGCCACACTGTTGTACTGAAGTGTCTCTTCGAAACCAAGCAACAAGCAAGCTAGTAAAAAATGCAGAACACAAACTGTGAACTTTTTATATTTCAATTTGCTTTCTGCTGAAACTGCCATATCAACGAAAAGCAAACTTCAGTAAGTTGGTACAGCCTCATAACATATGCAATTTGCAATGGTAATTATTACCCAACATGGTAATATCTAGTATCAGAAAAATGTACTAAACACCCCGCCCCCCCAAATCAACAAAATCCTCCATTTTAAACAAACCTGCAGGTTTTAGAGCAGTCCAGAAAGGATCTCTTGCTGGAACTCTGAGAAATGTCCCAGAACTCTTGTGAATCCTAAACAGCTACTCCTGGCTCATTATTCCCTGTTGAGGAGCATTGCTTGACAATAGCCCGAACTATTGAGTCACTATTCTTCCCACAACATGAATAACGGTCTCTTTGCCACATATATTCATGTACTACATCTGCCATAGGAAACACATTGCCTTGTTCTTCACAGCTCTTTTACTCCTCATAAAAGTGCAGTATGTGCAAATAAATTAATCATTTCTTTGACACAGATTTGCTTACATAGTGGCTGGAATCCTTATCATCCACCTTTCTCTTTTTGATGTCATTGGTATATTCAGGGCCATTCCTGCGTTTATCTGTGCTTCGCAGACTGTCCGGGACCAACAGAGAATTACTCTGTAAAGACAAAAAACAAGGTCAATCAAAAATTCCTTTCAAGATTCTTTCATATATGCTTAAAAACTCAAATTGGATGTGATAGATGCCTTAGAAATGTGATACCCCCATAGTCTTTCATTCCATTTAATTCAACTCAAAGTCCTCCAGGCAAACATGTACAGCTTCATGCATTCTAAGAAGCCTGGCTTTTCATTGCTCAAAGTTTAGTTCACTTGTCAGTCACCATCTATTTAACTAATTCAACTGAATTTATTGTTTAGGAGGAGCAGGCTTGCTGCTTATTCATGAGCAGGTAACAATGATTTATTTATTTATTTAATATACAGATCCCATATAATAAAAGACACATACTAAATATAATCTGATCGATTGCTCACTTCTAGACCATCATAAATAGACGAGGCTTTGGTATGTCTACACCTGCAGGCATGGACAGATATATGGCGACTTGCCTTTAACTCTTAAAATAAGAAATATTTACCAAATAAGGTTATGCAGTAATCATTTGTTAGCTGTGGTAGACTCCAATTGGATGCCTTCAACAAATGTATTGCAAACAAAGATCAAATATTTTTACTTCCAGCATAACATTCACTACTAGTGTGAAATTAAGGCTAAAGTGTTGTTTAATCAGACTTGATCTGAAAAACTGAGGCCAACACCACACACAAAAGACAAAAGCAAAGACTAATCTTTTCCTCAAACTACATGGACCGCTTTCATTCATGCTAAGTTATGCTAAGTACAAACTGTTGACCCAAAGAGAAAGGCATTTTAGACATTTTTCAGTCACATGACAATTTGACATGCCTGCGATTCCCATCTCCATCTCCATTCCAGCTAAAGCATTAAAACGTGTTACAATGAGTTCTTTTAAGTGCAGGATTAGCATATGCAAGAGGGCAATTTGTTCAGTGATGTGTTAATGCTGTGAACAATAGTGAATGACTTGAGAAAAAAATCTCCTTTCACAAAGACCTGGTAAGTCTAGTTCCTAAAAGCCAAGTACATGCTTACTTAAATAAATAAATATATGCTCACATAAATATATTAGTAAATACGTATCTACACGCACACACATATCTCTCACAAGAGGAATACCAACATATACACTATAACATAAGTGTAAGCCCTTAAAGGAAATACTTAGATCTACCCAAGAGCTGGAGATATTTATTCTTAATGTACATAAACATATACTAATAGCCAGTGAACTGTGCACTGAATGGCTTCCCCTTTGAAACCTGAGGACACCACGGTAGTTTTGCTCAGACATTAATGTTTAGTCCCAAGGAGAAGGAGAACAAAACAGGGTACATAAGGCAATCTGAATCCTCTTTTTTCCTACTTCAGAAGCTGCACTTTAAAGCCAACTCTAAGCTCTTTTATTCATGACTATTCAAGCTAAACAAATGCCAAGGGGCTTACATAAAGCATATAGGAGGGTCTAATGAAATTCAGTATAAAGAAGCTCAAAATAATGTCTTTACCACAATGTTTTGCAGCTAAAAGGTGGGCTTGTTGGATCACTGAACTAATTGCCTTGACAAATACAGTGTGAATTTAACCCATCTCCTCCCAGATGCACACAAACTCAGGAATACACTAGTTTGAAAAACATTAAAACCCATCTTCAAATTTTTAATATTGAATCCATCATGCCTGTAGCAGTAGAAAAATCTTAAGAAGCAAGCTGTCAATTCAAACTTGATCACAGATTTGAGTACTGCAAATGTCTTTTCTTAAGGAGGAAAGTCTTTCAGTTAAGAGATACTTCCCTTAACAAAAAATCACTAAAAAAATCTATTTTATTACTGAAGAGCTTAGAATAAAACAATGAAGGCAAATGTAGTAAAGTGAATAAATTCAGTTTCTCATTTTAAATTGCCAAAATTAAGCATGAATAAAGGAAAGGTGGTAAAGGTGCAGCAGTGGGAAAAATTAGCAACCCTGCTATTTGAAGTTCCTACACAGAAGTGTAGGGATTGGCATCAAATACGTGTAACAACAACGGCTGATATTTTCTTCTGGTTTAATGTAAAGTCTACCTAGACAATGCTGACAATATTCTGTACAGTTTGTCTTGTAGAATTTCAATACTGTGAAACATACCTAGGAACTCCTAGGTATACCTAGCTCCCACTGTGTCCTAAATGCCGAAGATCATTAGATTTGATTTTTCCTCAAAAGACTGAGGGCTTACTTATCATATAAACATATAACTGTAACAATAATCTACAGTCCTCACAAGCCTATTCTGCAAAACGTCTCCACTGCCTTTCTCTAACTTACCACAGTCATTTAAAGCACTGTTCTCTGGAATCAGAGCATCCGCACTAGAAGCTGTTGTGGAGCAGCTTATTTCGTAATAGCTATACTGGCAGCTGCAAATAAGATCGTGCTGTTACTCTGGCAAAATTTAGCAGTAAACTCAATGATTAAAAAGTTACTGTTTTGTTTCCCTGAGGAGTACAAGGAAGTTCTAACATTTGTGACCAAAATCAGGTAAAGTATAACTTCTGACGAAAAAACAGCTTGCTACTGTAACCTATTACCATAATTCAAACCACCAATTGTGTAATATTTCATTCAACAATATGAAAATATGCATTATTTTAAGTAGTGCATGGAGTAGATCCAGAACACTAAAGTAATAAAGAAAATAAATGAAAATACAAATAAGAACTGGGAAAGAGATGATCATATAAGCCTTGGGCTATTGACATTTCTCACCAACATAATGTTAAGGTTCAGGGAACAGCAAGGACAGCTTACTAAAAGCCACCTTTCCTCATTTCAGCTCTGGTAGTGTTTATATTTGCTATATGTTCACTATCAAGCATAGAGCCGCCTAGGAGACAGCAGCAACAGCTTCACAATGATAGTTTTCTCCTTATCTTCTCTTTAAAAAAATAATCTGTTTAGTTCTTCTATCAGGCCTACTAACATCTTGTCTTATCTTCAAAAGTAGGACAAGCATTTTTATTTTAGCTATAATATTTATATAATTTTTTTAATAATGCTACAGAAATTTTCAGTTGGGATTGATCTTCAATAATAATCGGTTTGTACAAAAAGGGCAAAAAGATATACACATGCATAGTTGATTTCCTAAAGAGAAACTGCATGACACCAGTTTTCGTTTTGTCTTAATTTCCACAGACTAGACACATGATTGAGGATAGTCCTTGCTTTCATACTAGGAATTTATTAGGGATTACCAGTGCAACATCTGTAAATCATGAATCTCAGATCAGAACAAATGGTCAAAATAAAGTTTATGTAAATGTTCTTTTTTTTCCGATAATTCAAAATTTATTCACATGAATCCCTTTTCTTCAAGTAACTCCCAGAAGAATTTAAAAAGCCTAACGTAGCACCGCTTGCTGTCAGAGTTACCAGACTGCATAAGGGCTGTATAAGAGGCAACCTGGGATCCTAAAGCAACTTTGCTGCCAGCCAAAGTTAAACACTGAAATCACCAGCAGCAAATGTGAAACGAAAACCTAGTAATGATGCACAGAGAGAAGGGAGGTTCCCTATTAGGAATATAACGCACATTATTCAAATGCACTTCTTTGACTGCCACGCCGTTCCCCATAGGCACTACTGCCAAACCACAAGTATGTGTGCCAGAGGTACAAGCTGAGAGCCCACAGTATCTCATTTAGCCCCAGTTGTAATACAGCACAGACAACTGACTAGAACATACAGAACTGACATTAACTTTCTCCTGATTTTTACAGCAATTAAATGACAGTATTTACATCACATCTGTGCTCATGGTTCAACTACACCTGGTCCCAATTAAGATCTTCTCTAGTGCTGGGCTCCTTATCCCTCCCCACTCTTCTTTCCCCCAAAGACACACACACAGACTTGGTCTGTGCTTGGCCATTCACTGACTCACTGTACATACAAACCAACTGCACCCACCTGCCATTACAGCCAGTTATTACAGCTGACAACTTGTGCTTGTCCCTATCACCAAGCAGGGCCACTGTGTTTATTTAACCACTACACTGGACCTGTGCTGCTGCACCACACACTAGTGCTGTCTACAGATATCCATATGTAGACAGGAACAAATGCAATCCCTTGCTGAGTAGGCAAGAGAGTCTAGCATCTACAACTAAACCATCAGTTGCTCAGCAGTCCCACCGCTCATTGTCAGGACTCTCTGATAGGAATACTGTGGACATTGGAAGAGGGACTAGCACTTAACCATCCCCCAGCAAGGCACAAGAAGATTGCACTCAAAGTTATTCAAGTTAAGAATTATGAACTTCCATTTGTTGAATATGCTTCTTGCAAACACACATCAACAATGCAAAAGTTGACTTATAAGGTCAGTAGGTTTTGTTTTAAATTACTGGTGATGGAAAGCTACTGACTTTGCCCTCTTTTCGTCCACCATTTTAAGTTATATTTAGACTAGTACGTTCATATTAGGAACAAGGAAATGTAGAAGCCTAAATGGTTTTGAATCACTCTCCCCATTGATTCAATAATCGGGAGACATTAACAGAGAAGGCGGCTTCTGTTGATTTCAGTATTTTCTAGCTAATGTTTGTCAGAATCAGGGTATCCACAAAAATTTATACCAGACCACCCCGATCGTCTTGTCCCTCGTCATCAGCCTCATGCTGCTTTATATCAGCTACAAACTAAACTGCAATGTAGAATCCCACAGCTCTTCTGTGTGAGCAACTCCAAAAAAAATGTGGTTTGCATCCATAAAGACCGTAAGATTTGACTTATTTTTGAAAAAGCCAATAAAAATAAAAGATAAAACTGATTAAAGAAATTCAAGTTTTTTGATTACAAGCTATATAATGGAAAATAATACTTTCTTCACAAAGGCCAAGAAGCATACATGTGCTACACTGAAGAGTACCCTACATTTTCGTGTAACTCCTTTTATGATTCCCCCCCATTTAAAAGAATTGAAACACAAAACAAAAACAGTCTGCATATAATATGAACCAAAAAGTAGCATTCAATTGTGCATGCCCACTTCCTCTAAGACTGGGAGGGGAAGAATAGGACAGAGAGCTAAGGACACAGAATATTTTTCTGCTGTAAGAGAAGAGCATTTGCTTTACAAAACAATAGCAACATTTATGCTTAACAATGAAGGCAAGAAAAATTTCTTGGAAAATTTATGAATTCTTCCTAAGTCTTAGAAAACAAGCCAATGTTTTTCATGAGGACAGAAGATAAACACCAACCTTAGTGTAAATCCCAAGCAAATAATGAAATCAGGTTTCACTGTCTACAAATTATTACTGATACAATAGAGCGTTTCAGAACATTTGCATTTTTATGCTGTCCAAACAGGATACTAGAACAGTGGGAAGATGAGTAATAAATGAACACCTAAGACGAGTTTGAAAAATGTTGCCAGTATGTTCCCTAGAGAAAAAAAATGTGGACATCAAAGTTCTTTTGCATTGATGTCTCCCAAAACTTTATTAAGTTTCAGTTGCAAAACTTGCTTACTTTGCCTGGCTTCATTACCTGATGCCTGCATTCCCATAATAACATGACCCAGTTTTGGACGGTTAGAGCTACATCAGCCAAAACCCACCTGCCGTTATCCATGTAGTCCTATAATTTAATTTTGACCAAGTAATTTTAGCAGCTCATGTATGAAGTATACTATTATCACTAACTTAAATGTTATATATTTCACAAACACGCATTTACAAAGAACTTCCTTTCATTTTACTTCCTGAAACTTCAAGTAATATACAAAAGAAAAATGTAGCCCTTGCCATTTAGATGCAGCAAAAGTAGATAAAATGGACACCGATCACAATCAAGAATAATTAAATCACTACATCTTTATATTCCTTTATAAATACATGAATCTCACTGCATTATGAAGTATTTCTAAACATACAATACATAAAAGCTTGTGACTGCTTATTTGCCTAAGAAGACTTTAAAAAAATAAAACCAGACCTCATTTAAAAATAATATGCTCAAATAATATGCCACAGTATGCTTTAACTCAAAGTTATGTCAAAAAAACTCAATTTAAAACCAAATAGGCAAGCGCTAAATTGTAATCTTTCAACCTTGCACGTTTAAAGCTGTCAGCTTCTACTGATGATACTGGAAGGTCACACTAGACATACCTGATGGAAATCATACTGTAGAACTGCACAGTAATACCAAATATCATGGTTAATTTAGGTAACTAACAGACAGCATAGGTTTTGGTGTCTTGGATGATGAAAGCCTTTGTCAGGATTTCTGGCAGCACCATTACATTTAAAATGTTACTTTAAAAATCAAATTGATCTTATCTTGGTGACCTAGATGTTACAAAGTAATTTGCAAAACAAGAGCCTACTGCTCAGTTGGAACCACATGTAATAATTAAACAGACCTGCTGGCATGCCTTGTGTACTTGTGACCAATTTTATATTATCCTTAAAAATATATTTTAAATTAAAAAGAAATCCATTAAAAAATACAAGAGAATTAGAGAAGTTCAAAGAGAAAATCATTCCCAGCTGATCATTTTAGCCACAGATTTGAATTTGACTATCACTTGAATTATGATTCTTTCATTGAAGATACCATTTACTGTTAAGCCAACATTCTAATCCAACACTGTATTTAAACAATTTTAAGTTCAAGTTTAAGTTCACTAATTTAATTATGAAGTATTATTCTCCTCTGGGACCAAAAAGAAACTATGGCCACCATAGTGTAGTAACCTGAACTCAGTATGTCCATACAGCAAAGCTCCTTTATGAAGTAAAGCCTCAGATTGTTTAACGGTTACTTAGTGGGAAACCAGCATAAAAAAGCCTACTACAGATAATAATCAAGCAATCATGAGTTACATATATGGACAGAAGTAACTGCAGCGACAATTTTATGTACTTTAATTAAATAAAACTGACATATACAGTAAACTAAGCAAGTGATATTGCAAATGTCCCACAACAGAGAAGCATCTGATTTTAAACTCAAAAACCCTTTAGCAAAGTACATGATGGACAGGGCAAGGGAGAATGGGTAGAGAGCAAGGACAGGAAACATAACAACCAAAGCAAAACACAAAGCCATCATTCCCACATGTGCACGTGTGTGTGCACACAGACACAGTCACACACTGCAAACCTCCTTCCTTAGCTCCTAAGTTTTTGAGAACTCTGCCCCTGCAGTTGACTAACATCACTCAAATATGTCCCACTCAAAGAAATATGTCCTTAATAATTCTGAGGCTTTAGGAAAACCCAGCTTAAAATTATTTCCACAGTTACACTGACATTAAGCAACCTGAAATGAATGCTTCTTGCTTAGTAATCTAAAACCAAAAAAGATTGCAGCAAAAGATATGCAGATAGTTTCCAGTAAATAATTGTCAAGCCCTAGTATAAAAAAAAAGGCAGCAATAAAAATCAGAAGTTTAGTATTGTAAAGATATCTGTCAATAACTTTTCCTCGTTCTTGTCTTTTCTAATTGAGAAAAAGAAACAAAATAGAGCCCAAATTCACCTATGACATCAACAAGCAGAATTAGCTTTGTTACTTGAAATTACATGAAAGTTGCACATGCCCATCTCCAACTGATGAATATAGCAATATCACTCAAAACACAACAGTATAAAAAGCTGTAACAAAGCAGTTCTTTGGCTGGTTTTCGGATAAGATTGTCTTAGACCAATTCTATTACAGCGTACGTCTGCAGGGAAAAAATGTATTGCTATGGAAGTTATGCCTGAAGCACAAATTAAGCAGTAAAGACATTAGTATGGCTTAAACAGATTCAGTTGAAGAAACTCCTAGAGACAAACACCGTCATGAAACATGAATTTTAAATTTCTCACCTGTTCTGCAACTCTAATTCCTGAAAATCCTACAGGAAAAATCTTCACTCTGACTAATAATGTTATACTTTAAGTTGCAGTCAACGTTCTGTTTGATTTGCAGCTTCCCTCCCCACCCCCCCCAATAAACAACTAAAGTTCAAGCTTCCCCAAAATCATTCTGCTCAGAAGCAAACCTGATTCATACAGTCCTCCAAACAAATGACTTGGTGTTCTGCATAAACCAAGAGATATCTTAACACAAAACAGATATGCCTAGTTTCATGAAATTGACTAAAAGGAAGACAAAACAGACAAACAGTTCAACGTCTGATTATTACATTATGTAGAAGTGGAAACATTAAAAAAAATTGGTACTTACTGTGCCCGGCTCTCTGTCTGCTCCCGCAGTAACCAAGAAATGCACAGACATGCCCGTTCAGACACAGAGGCAAGAACAGAAATAAAAAAGGGGGGAAAAAAATTAGAACACAAGCCACGAACAGTTTTAAAATGGCTTTTATTAATATAAGTCATTGCACATTCCTAATACAGTGATTTCCTGAAAATTACAGTATTTTGTAAACATGATTTACAGTTTAACCATACACAAAGCCTAGTTTTATTTCATGACAGAATAAATTATTTTCTTTTCAAAAATTAGTCAAGTGCAATTTCGCCCAATATTTAATTGCGTACTAGAATTTAAGCCAATGAAACTAAAATAACAGATGCAATTATCTAAATCTTTTGTTTGAACACATTCACTTCTCGTCCCCCCTACCTTCCCACCCACCCATTTAACAACATTATTTTCTTTGAAAAAATTACCATTATGCAGTTTAACAGTTTTCCACAATATGGTACAGGCCACTGGCGTTACAACTAAGCATTTACCAGGATGTCAAAATGCCCTGCAAACTATAGAGCAGGTGACACCTAGCGATCCCCTTTTAAAATACTGAAAACTTCCAAGCTGAATTTTGCTTCAGTGGTATATATGCAGACATTTTTAAGTTTGCCAACAGTTTTTTCCTCATTCTATATAACTTGAATTCTTTAGAGATGCCCATAATTTGCAGCAATGCGCAAATTTGACAATGTCCTAATCAGGCCTGCCATGCCTCTCACCTCTATGGTGTTCTGCATCGTGATGCTTCTTGTCATCTTTTATTGCCAAGTGAGACTGCCCACCCAAAGCACTAGAAAGGGCAAGAAGGCCAGCACTGCTTCCGAGTGGAGGGATTCCTGGAGGCTGAAGTCCTGACGGATGCGGTGTTAGAGGCACTGGAGGTCCATGGCCATGGGAGAGATGTTGAGCCTGCAACTGCTGCTGCTGTTCCCAGCAGTATCATCATCCCCAGAAGAACAACGCATAGCACATAGTTTGGGAAGGAGAAGGGAGAAGTTTGGTTAATTACTAAGAATCAACAGTGGATTTTTTCATTTGTTTGTTTGTTTTAAATCTAGCCTCTCCTCTTTGTCCCACCACAGTATACATACTGTATTATATCATGCTGTCTGTGGACAGGTCTGCTTATGCTCATAAGCCAAAAAAGGATAGCTGGATACTTGTTCTGCAGCCCAAGGAATAGGTTCAACTCCTGTAGGTTGTTTTCGGCAACTACTGCCTGCCACAGCGTTACCGGTGACAAACAAACAGCAGCAGCAGAAGGCCCGAATACCTTTCCCTTTCTATAGAGAGGAGTATCACTGCTCTGGGAAAAAAACTAATTTCACTGGCAAGACTGATTTAAACTCACCCCCGTCTCTTCCCCCAGTTTGGAAACAGTAAGTAGGTTTCTATTTTGAATATTAAAAAACCTAAAAGACACTGCCTAATTTCATATTTAGTGTAGTTAAATTTACATTTTATTCTAGGCAAACTTTGGGGGAAAAAAAAATTATTAATGAACAACACTGTGTTTAGGAACCAACTTTGAGCTTAAGATCCAGGTAGTCCAGATAGCATCAATAAGGTCATGGAATTCCCAACAACAAATATGGTATTAATGAATTAAAATACCTCCAGCTGTTTCAAAAGCAGCTTGCCAGATCAGTATCATAATGAGTGGACATACAACCCTGTAACCAATCTGGCAAAATAACCTGTAAGCAATTTTAGAAATAGAGTCCTTACAATGGAATGATTTCCCTAAATATTAAGATATTTTCTAGTTAAAGCTCTTACAGTTTTATTAATATTTTCCAAGTTCAGCTAACCATTTAAGTTGTCTGAAATGCTCAGTACAGATTTATTTAGAAAAATAAGCTTCAAAACCATCTTTAGCTTAGTCATAGCTCCCCTTTAGTCTGCTACAGGTAAACAGATTTTCTGCCTCTTTTCTGCTTCCTTGTGTCTGAGCATATGAACAGAAGACAGAACAAACCTCTCCACCTTGGCCACGTTCCACCATCCCTCTGCTGAAACATGAAGCATGAATGTTTTCCATACCATGAAAAAAGCTAGAGTACCACCCAATTCATGGGAGCAAAGAGAAGACAGATAAGCAAATGTCTGAACAGGATGAGCTCAGCTAGACATGAGAGTTTGACCTGGTGAATGCTAGTGGTCCTGTAAGAGCAGGCAAAATTGTTACAGTACTGCTGACAGCTACTGATATCATACCTAGACTAAAGCTCACAACATTTCACAAGTTACTCCAAAATAACTAAACTCAAAATAATCCAAAAATATTTTATCTGCTTTCATAGGTCCCAAGACTCTTCAAGACAAATTGTCGTAACATCTACTGGCATATGAATGACTTGATTTATTACTATTTAGATAACTACTGCACCCCTACACTTTTATTTCTCATAACCCCACTCCAAGACATGCCTTGAGCTGTTAATAAATTTATGTAGACACAAGTGAATGACACTGAAGAACTCTGGACTGGACCTGCTAATCTTTCACTTTTCTGCTGTCCCAACTGTAATGCAGCTATCATTTATTTTTGATATACAAGACACATACAATCTTAAAATCTAGCATAATCCCTTTAGTCAATTCTATAAAGCTGCAAGTTTGCCAAATCTTTCTCACACCATGTATCAGGAATTTCTTTTCGCGTGCTGCATAAAAAGCCTTGCTATTCTTCACTTTAATACGTACATCTGATCACTATCCTTGCCAACTCTTCAGTATGTTTAAAAAGCAAGGTAAGAGAGAGGTAGCTCTTATTCTTCTATTTTAATGTGTTTACAACAACCCAAGAAGTAACATTTTGAAGGAAGTATTAAGAATTATTTTTATTTGAAGTAGTTAAAGCAGTAGACCATCTTTTACAAAATCAAGCAGCTATTGCTAGTGAAACTTTATTTAACTGAAGAAGTATCAGTAAAGAGCACTGTAAAGTCTGACAGAACTGCAGGGTTTTTTGGGGGTTTTTGTTTGTTTTGTTTTGTTTTTTGATCCAGCCTCCAAAGAACAAGAGAACATTTCTCTTCTCACAGACTTTATTAAGACTTTAGTAGTTTCCAGCATGTTTCCTCAAACCAGGAGATAACCTGATGTTTTGGCAGGCTCTCTCAGAGAGATGGTATCTTAGTTGTTCCCCTTCTCGTTGACCATTTAAGCCAGGTCAGTCACCTGAACTCTAGCCATGAGACAACATGCATCAGCAGTACTGTACTGCATTCATGGCACTGGTCTTACTTGTCCCCAGCTGCACTATCACACTGGATTACCTAGTTGTGGTATGCAATTGGCTAAGAACAAAAAGTGATTTATCCCTTTCAAATTGGTTTCAGGGAGAAAAACCTCCTCCCTTCTCCAACAGTGAGCTCAAATTAGCTTCTTTTGCAGTGTGGGCATGGGAAGGTCAAAACAGGGAAATGAAGTTAAATTGTTTCCATTCTTGTCCCTATCCCTTCAGGAAGCCTGTGAAGATTCCCTTTATTCATGCCTCTCTTGCTTGGTTTAATTAGCAGACAAGTTAACCTGCATGATTTCAGGAAGCATAGCTTAACGTCTTTACAAATCAAACTGTTAGGGACATGTTACCTACAATTTCCCTGGCTCTGCTTTGTAGCCTACACACAGGGTATTTCAAAGGTCCCAGAAATGAGGAACAGATTAATCCCCTCTAACAGGTTCTGAAGCTGAAAGCATGTGACGAGAAGGGCTATGTCCTGTTTCCCTGATGGGACTGCATACGAACGGTGGGGAGCAACACTCAATGTAAGGCGTAGAATGGAATATGAGAGCTGTAAGTGGAAACGCATCACTCCGCTTAACATCTTAGCAGCTTTGCAAAATGGTTACTGAGGGTAGCAAAGGTACCCAGACATGCTTAAATATCCAACTACGTTAAACAGGCTTAAGACTAAAAACCTGATCATGGTCTTTTAACCAACAAAGGTATATTGTGATTTAATGTTTATCTGAGGCTCACTGCTGTTTAAGACTGAAGTATATTGATTTATTGTTTTTATATTACCTAGTAGTAACAGGTTTAAAGTTCTCCCTAACACATAGATAAAGATGATTCTTTCCAGAAGTTCATGCTCTTTTTATTTAAAAAACTTGAATTGTTAAAAGTATATTGTATTCTCTTTCTTGAAAGGGAAAAGGGAATATATGCTACACGCAAAGGAAGAAACTAAAGACCAGGAAGATGGATAACAGCAGCACTCACCAGATGTATTTAGTAACTAGACATTTGCCATAGTAGATCCTAGAAACAATTATGTTATGCATATAATCACTTTCCCATCACTTCAAAAACACTAATGCCTGCTCTGTCACCTTTTAAGAGCTTAGAAGCAGTGAGATATAAACTGGAGTAAGTTGGCAGCAGTATCATGGTCTACTAGGCATGTTCATTAGCAGTTAATTAAAAACTAGACACCTGCCATAAGAAATGTGCTCTAAAAAGGATGAGTAACAGGTCTGTCTTACTACCAATTATTATCATTACTTGCAGAGCGAGGGCTGTGTCCACTTTCAGAGGGAAGTGGGAAGGTAGAGAAGAGAGCAATGATGCATACGTAAGTGACTGCACTGAGGTAATTAGCCATAGCAGTGATTTTTAAAGCATCAGTAGTTCACCCACCATTTTATTGCAGAACTAGAAGTTCTTCATATTTGCGAAAGGAGAAAAGGAATGGCAAATTCAGCTTACTGTACTGTCTAGATGTAGGTTTTATTGCCTCTAATTTTTTTCCCAGTATCCCTCTACCAGACCTCAAAGGTGCAAAAATCAACATATGAAAAACACCGCACTTGCTTCTCTGAGCAAGCACCTCCTAACAATTTTAACAGCAGTACAGTTTTTCACCCCCAACATCCTAGGCAAGTTCCAGCTGTAAAGAGCTCTTTAACTAGGACTTAAATTTTGGAATTAATTTTCAGTCTCTGCCAGAGACTTCCAGAGACAGAGTTAGTAAGTCTTTGTGAAACAGATTTCCTGTACATAAACAACGACACATCTCCTTTAGGCTCCTTGCTTACCAAGACAGAGCATAAGCTCCTACAATCCCACTTCCCACCTTAAAGTAGTTCTGTTGAGGTCACAAACACCTATGGCTTACTTAAAAATCTTGTTTTGAATTCCTAGTGTTAAACAGTTAAGAGCATTCTTCTGTTCTTGAACAGATGTGTGATATACTATTCAGTATCTGTGGAAAAGCACTGAATTAAAAATTCAGATGTGATTATACATAAACAGTGGAAAAAGGATTATACCTGGTCCAAAACTACAATAGCTGTCTTCTCTTGTGCCCTTCTAAATAAACACCTGAGAGCAGAAAAAGTTTTCAAAAACCTTATCAGCACTAGCACCAGTAATACTATCAACAGATTCTCCCAAGCTCCACAGAGGTGTTCTGAGAAAATATCTGGCAAGCACAAAAGTCATTTAGAGACCTAAAATGTAAAGGGCACTATTTCATGTCAACTTCTGTAAAACTGAAGAAATGTGATTTTGTTGAACTCAAGCAGGCAGAAAGACATGAGAGAAAAACACGTATTACTGTGTTCAATTTCACTGCCATATTCTCTCCCTTCCCAAAGGGATATCTTCAGGTTTTTTATTTGCTTGCTTAAGTAGCAGAAGGAAATGAGAGCCTGTATCAAAAGTCTATGGCCAATGAACATATGAGGGTCACTGTCTGAGCGCATACAGCTAGCTGACCAAGCGATAAACTTGTCCCTCACTATTTAGAAATATCCTTAAAACCAAGACTGCAAATGTAACCTTCCAAAAAAGGAAACAACTCAAGATTACGCTCCTGTCAGATAGAGTCTTCTCCCTCATTCTAAAAAAAACCAAAACCCTGCACACACCACCCACGCTACCAACAGTCAAATCTAAACTCATTAGACAGTCT